TGTCGCCTCGTATAATACCGATTATATTATTACTAATATATTGTGATATTTTGTGAAACTTATGTATTAAAAAACGTTCTTCGATTTGAGACGAACGTTTTATTATCGCCTGATATATCAGTTACATAATACATACAAAATAGTATTATGTAATTTTATTCGATCGTTTTCTATATATACATACAGTTAAGAGACGTTCTTCGACTTGGGACGAACGTTTCAATGTCGCCTCGTATAATACCGATTATATTATTACTAATATATTGTGATATTTTGTCGAACTAATATATTAAAAAACGTTCTTCGATTTGAGACGAACGTTTTTGAATATCGTCGCGTATCCTGCCGATTACATAACAACTAATATATTTCCATATTATATAAATGCTATGTACTGAAAAACGTTCTTCGATTTGAGACGAACGTTTTTGAGTATCGTCACGTATACTGCCGATTACATAACTATTAATATATTTCCATATTATATGAATGCCGTGTACCGAAAAACGTTCTTCGATTTGAGACGAACGTTTTCAATATCGTCCTGTATACTGTCGATTATATTACTACTATTATATTTCGATATTATCTCGCAATTATGTGCTGAAAAACGTTCTTCGATTTGAGACGAACGTTTTCAATATCGCTTGATATGGCAGTTGCATAAGAAACAAACAGTATTGATTACTTTCTTGACTTCTATTTATGAAGAGAACAATTGTCACAAACAAGTCTATTACTAGAATGTTCTGGATGGAAAGAGTGATGCAATGCAGGTCAACAGAGAAGTATAAATATGGACCATCGAACTATTCTTTTTTATTCATTTTCAGTTTCTATTAGTCAGTGGTCTCACTTGTTACGTAACAAGTCAGATTTGAGAGTGTGAAAGAGAAAAATATCTTTTTGAATTTTTTCTTCTTTCTGTCTCTCTCAAATCTCCATTTCTCTATTTCTCTCTCTCGTCCATTTATAAAAGGACATGTATTGACTACTACTAGTCATTCAATCTTTTAGGTTGGTCGAGGTAAGTACAATAGTATTTATTCATGTTTCAATTTTTTAATGTCTTCATGTCTTCCGATGTATATTAACACTCACACTTATTTATGCATTGGACTATATATACTAGTCTAATCATTTATGTTCTCTAATATTAATTGACTTTGGATACACTTCAGCTTTGATAAATATATATGCATTATCTCTCAGATTATCTTACATACATATATGCGATTCTTCAGGATAACAAAAAGAAGAATGTTACTCAAACTACTTTAATCTTCTTTCATGTCATTTAATATTTTCAATTTATTCTTTCTTATAGATATTTATTGAATATCTCGACTCGAAGCCCTGAAGAGAACTATCTTCTAAAAGATACGAAACGTGTCGGCGAAATAAAACTCTAAATTTTCTTGAATTATTATAATCAAAGTACAATTACTAACAATATCAGTGTTTGAACAAAGTCGATTACTAAAAAGCAAGCGTCCTGAGTAGCATATTGATTTGTATGAAAGACACATGTCGTTTCATTTTCAATTGCATTACAATAGTCAATCAGTACCACTTCGAAGATATATGAGGAATTTACCTCGCCGTGGTAGTGGTTTTGATGGTAATCAATATAATTCTCCAAATGGACACAATCAATATAATTATCAAGATCGGAACAACAGATATTATCCAAATTTTTCTCGTCATAATTATGAACCACGACACTGTTATTATGGTTATAATATTGGTGGCAATATGCACCGACCACCACCACGATACCATCGATTTTATCAAGAGACAACAAATAGAAGAAATATACACCAACCAAGAACTCGTTTTTTCCAAGACAGAATCAATGGTTCAAATCAAGAACAAAACGAAGCAATATTAATCGTGAATGTTTTCATGAATTTGAATCCAAGAGTATTTAATAGACATATACGTTGATCTGTTATCAATTGAATTCATAAAAAAAAACTAAACATAAAAGATCTTGTGTTGTCATATTCAATTCTTCTTTGTTATAAATTTTCATATATATAACTCGAATGTTCCCTTTGCTTTCTATTGTAGATATACACAGAGCTCTAGCCCTGAAGAGTACTATCTTGTCAAAGATACGAAACGCGTCGGCGAAATAAATCTCTACATTTCGTTTAATTAATTTAATTCAAGCACATTAATATATCATATCTTAATTTATTTTCGACTTTGATCGATTGCTGAAAAGCAAGAGTTGAGACTAGCAGATTGATTTGTATCTGAGAGATATAGGTCGATTTGTTTTCCATTGATTTACGTCTATCCAATTATATCAGGGATCAAATTATTCGAATATTCTTATTCTAATTTGGTCCATTTCTCTCTCAACTTATTTAACGATTCATGTCGTCAATATCTTACACTAATCCAATGCCAATACAACAGCCGTCTCCAGCAGCAGTAGC